TATTATTGACAACGGCAACTATATATAAATATATAGGTTAGGTACCCATATTATTAGTATAATAGTCATCGTCGTCAACAAATTGTTGTCATAATAATGTTGATTCGCCATTCAAACTCGGAAAAATTTTCGTAGCTTTTTATATCTTATACTATTATAATATGTATAAAATGAATAAGCCATTATTTAGGTACCTACATAAAAATGTATTAGTTTCTAATACAATTTGATTAAGTTCATTATGGTTTAAAAAATTGAATTATAAGTTTAAATCTATTTTATTTTTATAAGTATATTATATTGTATAACTACTAAAATATGAACGCCCATTGCATTGCATTGTATTATATATTATAAAATAATGTATGTATTATAGTAATATAATATGACTATTCAAAAAAATTGTATAATATTATTTATTACAACGTACAGTTATTAATTATTATAAATTATAAGTTGTAGAACAGATCTTCTGTCGGTATTGGGAGTCAGTTATAATTTACTAGTCTACAAACTAAATACAATAATTATCTATACATGTTATGAACTTATAACGCTCAGTTTAAATACTACGTTTACCTAACCTTTATAAAATAAATATCGTTTAGAATCAGAATTATTATTTTTATTCTCTCTTTTAATTCAGTGCTATTCCAGAAAAATGTCTGATAGTTATTTCCCAGCAGTAGGCACTGAAATTTGTATATCGCGAGTACTTGGATTTTATGAAACACTGGTCACGGTGTCCTTAGAACAAGTGCTGCCATGCCCGAGATATCTACGGGTGCCCAATCAAAAACTCTACCAAACCCAACATACACGTGCGGGGGGGTTATTTGGGATTACTTTATCTTTTTAACTCGTTAATGCCCAACCTTGCTATGTCGTATATAAAATTGACATTATAGTGTGTTCGCTTATATTGTTTATTGTTGACGACGATTGGGCCTATACACTGTTTAATCGAATAGAATTAGTTTATTTATATTGTAATATTTCGACAGTAAATTGTTTCCAATAAGCGTTTAACTTTTTTTAAGTTTGGTATTTATGTATAGTGTTTAAATTAAAGTAAATAAAAGTAATGTTTTTAATTAATTTAATTATTTTTCCTCGACTTAAAATAGCTGCCAACACAGTACTTAGCGTGCTAAGTTTCACGCGTGAAGTGATATTCCGTCAACCAATTAAGATGTGGCTGCAGGTCGTATAGTTTAGAATGCATTAATTAAAATTAATTATACAATTATAGATGCACTTAGGATAGATTTGATAAGCCACATTTATTCAAAAACAGCTTTTAGTTAAATAATTTATCAGCGAAATGCCCATCAGCCATGGGCTCGTTATATTATGCTTACAATGTATACGAGACTAAATTCATTTCAAAATTCAAATCCTAAGACCACCTATGGTTATCGTAGTAAATATTATTCTTCTTGTCGATTTCGGTTTTATAATACGCCGGTTTTATAAATGGCACTAATATAATATAGACCTTTTTTTATAAAAACACAAAAATAATAATAAAAATAAAAAAAAAATTCATAATACTTACAAAAGTAACAAAACACAACTTAATAATGGAAAAAATAAATGAATACATTTGGTAACGAATTCGGTAAATCTAATAAACAAAAATCGCATATCTATTTGGTAACGTCCTAGATGTTGCATTTTTAATGTAATTTTGCTATAATATAATAATTTATTAGGTAGGACGTACTATGCAGACTCTACAAAATGTAAAATATTTTAGACATTATTATATCAAGTCTATATACAATTTAGGTACCCTAAGTATTCTTCGATGAAGATTTTAACTCATTAGGTTTACCTAATCATTTTTTTAATTACAACAAAAAAATATAAAAAAAAATTTAATTCAAAACTGGTGTCGTGTAAATATTTCCGTTTTACCACTGTTTTTTGTTGCCAAGTTGTTACCTATTATTTGCAATAGTTAAATAGATATAATTTATATTTATAAATATTTCAATCTTGTTTTGAACTTTTAGTTCTTGGCTATAAAAATTGAACATTATATGTATACATTTTTAAATACAAAATAATTTGATAATGTTTGCGAGTATGATGGATTTGTCAAAATTAGAATTTAAAATGCTTAAAAAGAAAATTGTGCCTTTAATCTTTATATTTTCACTACTCTTGAACTTCTAATATGAAATGACTTATGGCCTGTATGTGAATTTTCAAGTTTTTTGATTCCGCAAAAAAAATTATTCTGTAGATACTAGCTCCTACTTAAAACTTAAAACTTCTGGGCCGATTTCCCAAGTTCGAAAAAATATATATATTTTACAATATTACAATATTAGCATACCATTGTTGATTTATTTTTCTTAATTAATATAATGGCATCAGCTATCGGCAGTATACTTTGATTTATTGAATTTTTTCAGTATCCTTTTTTGATATATTTTATATTTTTTAATTATTATAAAACATTCTATTTCTATATTTCAAATTTTTAATAGATCTATATATTTTGGGTTTTTTAAAATGTTGTGCAATGAAAAAATGGTAAATGGACACTTTGTAATATCTATTGTTTGTGGACATTTTGTACCGTGAAAATAAATTGATAAAAATCAATCTCGGACACTTTGTACGATATAAATAAACCAGGAAATATATTTTACATAATATTTTAATTGATTCGATTTTTTTTTCAGTTTATTTTCTATAAATGTGAATAAAACAATTTAATACAAGGCTCCTAATATATTGTTACAATGACAGATGAAAAAATATATTAAGAATACATATATATTATATACGTACAATTATATTTTATAATTTAGTAGCCACCTTAATTATAATATTTTAACACTTATCAACTGTTCAATACATATTTAGGGGGGGGGGGTTATACTGTATACTATACTAACAAAAAAAGACTATTTTTTCAAGTATCCTGCACGCCCGCGCCACCTTGTCGCTCGCCGCGTCATGAATTTGTCTGACGCCTCAGACACGGTAGTGTCCGAGGCCAACATGCGCGTCACACCAGTGTCACTCAATTTGTACTAAAAAGAAAGAACGAAGCTTGTTGTTGTTATATACCGTTCCCAGCATTAATTTATTAAATAACTAGCTGAATAAGCAATCAATAAAAAATTAAATACTAATTTCTACTATTTATTTCTCCTATAACCAATAGTAACCACTTTTAAACAAAAATTTCCAATGCAAATCTCAAAATTCCTGTTTGAGCACATCCTCGGGTTGGACTTATCGGGACAAATTATGAATCTAAACCATCCAGGGAACCATTCAAACACTCACAAAAAGTTCATCGAAATCGGCCCAACTGTTCTCAATTGATTAATTACTATACTATATACATATTTCACACCATTTATATATATATATATATATATATATATATATATATATATATATATATATATATATATATATATTATAATGATATTATTAGACGAGGCCTATAAAATGGAAACAAAAATCATTAAAATTGTTTTTTTCAATGTGCGACGATAAAACAATATTCGCGTATTTTCCATATTTTCCCCATAAGATATGTGCCACGCAACTGCGATAACCTTGGGCCGTATAGTTTGAGGCGTATATGTAATAGCTGGTTCATCACAAACAGCGAATGGCCGGATTCTCGGATAAATCTCTGAAATGTGTAACGCATTTATTTCTGTAAACGTATATTAAAACGTACAAATCCATTTCTTTTTGTGCATAAATTCATTAAATCTCCACGTTCGAAACGGATCAGTTATAGGATTAACCGCCGTGTACGGCGAAACGTTGAGAGGGGGCGAATATGACGCCACCACCTCCTCACCCCTCCTCCCACGCGATCACATCGTAAACGTCCGCAGAGATCGCTTAAAACCGTTTCGGAAATTCGCGTGTAAGTATATCCCCGCCGTGTTGTTTTACGTTTTTTTTTTTTTTTTACTTTTATCCCGTCGAAACAATCCGTATTTATTGCGTTATTTATTTATTTTCTATCGATACCGGATTTCACACAGCTCTTTTCCCCTAATCCTGTCGACACTTAACACATACACACGTCACAGTCCCATGCAGTCTCACTGTGCACAGTGTACACGGTTTTCACACGCCTGTGCCCTGTAATCCGAAAGTCATCCGATAGCGACGATTCGCACAGGATACTATGCACCATCGGTCCATTTTTTGTTGCTAATGTTGCGATCCTCCCGTTTAAGAGCAATGTCGGACCGGATCACGTCATATACCTAAATATATCACGGGGACTGAAATTACACCAAAATATATAATAAGTTTTCGATGCGGTATGTATAAAGGGTAAATAAACTTTATGGAAATGCGACTATAACATCCATAAATTAAATACTATATAGCTTTAGCAGTCTGTATTTTCTGCAGTCGGAGACCGTGTCATATTAATACTTGGTTATATTATATTATCTAAAACGGTTATACTTTCCGCATGGGAAAGTTTGTTATTTTTTTTAATTCAAACATTATATATGTTATTATAAAACTTTTTGTTTACCACTACCCTCGGTCCCACATAATAAATGTTTCTTTGCTCGCACCAACGGTTCGCAAACTTTCTCGTACACCCGTCTCGAATATCGAAATATTAGTTGCATTCGTATATTGGCTGACCGCGATCGTTGTCAGTGTACATATTATAATATAATATATTATATAGGATATTATCATAGCTTTTCAATTTTAGATTCTGAGAGGAGCGATGAATGTCAATGGTTTGTGTTTTTTTTTTTTAAATGAATTAATTTTCCGTCTTCACCTTTTTGAGCCATAACAATGCTTGGACTATAAGCCTTAGAGTTTTAAACTTAAGGAAGGCTTTTGATAGAAAATTGAGAATATTGGATATATAGTTGGTACTTGGGGGGGGGGGGCGTCCAGGCGATGCAGTCAAATGCCGAACATCGCAGTAAAAATGGCTTTTGCGGGTGATACATCCGTTACAGCGTTCAGCGGTGATGCACGAGACGGTAAAGATCGATTCACCGTCTGCCGGCGACTCGATGCAAACTGCTTCGGTCGAGTCGTTAAGTGGCCCGACCGAAATGGTCGTGGCAAATTATGTCAGTTCAAAGTTCCGTTATTCCGTTGGGCAACACGGCAACCATGATGACGCTATCGTTGCCACCGAAGTCAAGATCGAAACGCCACCCGTCTGGTCGCCGCTGCATGTTCGACCGGTCGAAGCGGACGCGTGCCGATACGCCGTTCCAGTTCAATGCCGAACATCGAGGTGCGGTTTGTTTCGGACGACATCGAGTACGTCCCGGTGCGAGTTTCTATAGAGTCACTTACGAGTTTGAAAACGGTCGAACTAAACCTCACGTACCGCGACTGCTGCAGCAGTGCACGCGAGTTTGCCGCAGGAGTTTGCGTAATCCGCAGGTGTGACGGGACGGACCCGGTAACCACCGCGGTTAAACCCAAGCGCCGCTCTAGGTGAAAACGGACGAAGCGATTCGTCAGACGCTTATTTTGTTGAGCTTGGTATATAGATATCAATCCGAAAAAAATGGACCCTTCTCAATCGGGTATCATACCGATTCGGGTTGCAGCCGTTGGAACGCTTATTAAAAGTTATACCAAGATTATATAATATAAAGATTGTTAAGCTGCAAATCTTATTATGATTTACTTAAATAAACGTTTTGTATGTGTTATACCTATTTTTTATTATATTATTGATTATTATAAATGAATGTGTCAACATGCGCTCGTGGAATATTAATTTATACGGCTTGTGAAAATCGTTACTATATATTGTACAGGTATACTTTAGGGTTTTTTTGTAACCAGTGTAAATATCTATTTTTTTGTCGGAATTTGAAAAACTAAAAAAAAAAAAATCGAATAATTAAAATGTCTCAAAATAACTCAAAAAGTTTGAAAATATTTTGTACATTTTTATCGCGTAGGTACAGAAAATGTTAACATGATCGTTTTGTGAAAATGCAAGTACCTTCCTACGGTTATTCGTTTTTGAGTTACACACTGACAACTCCCAAGTTCCGTTGCCTAGGATTATTTAATTGAATAAAAAAATTTCAAAAAATAATTTTATATTTATACATTTATAATGTACACAACTTTGTGCATGGCTATATAATAAATTATGTTGTGATACATTCCATCGATTCGTATAATCGTTTCAATTAAAACTTGTTTCGCGAATAAAATTACGAACGTTCGCTAGTCGGTTTACATATTATATAGTCGCGGTTTACACACCGGCCGTATGCCAAGAAGTAGTTATTATACACGTTTATATGTACAATTTATTATTATATATATAGGCATATAGGTAAATAGGCACACGCCGTATGCATAAGAACTTAACGATTATAAATTATAATATATACATATGTGTGTAATATATTTTATATAATATAATAGAATAATAATATGAATGATACATGGACCGCGTATAACGTAATCTCGGCCCAAAGATATAATATAATAATATATCTTCGCACCTATCAATTCTATTTAACGTCTTCATCCCTAATCGCGACGAAGATGCACCTGCACCACCTGTTCCGTTTGCCCTTAAAATGGATATGGTGTCTGTAGCGAATACATCGCAGCTTCTTATATTACAGGGCGTGTACAATAATATCATAAAGATCTTATACTTTTTGAAATTGAAACCCTTTGCATACTCGAGTGTGTGAATAGGTATATATAGGTAGATTTTGGAATTCTACATATTATGGGTGTATAATGTATATGCACCAAAACTTATGGTTTGTATATGTATTCATTTAAATGTGCTAAAAATCATCAAAACGTATATTTTAAATATATATTTTTAAACGTAGGCATGCAAAATACAAGTGCGTATTTCAGAATAATATTGTTTTATGAATAAAAGCGAATGTTTATAATTTATTCGAAAATAATGTATAAAATATAAATACGATGTTTTTAAAATACAATTATTATTGCAGTAGGTTCAAGTGTAGGCATAAGTGTTTTATGTTTTTTTTTTTAGATATTTTGAATTTTTGCTCTTATTTCTTCCGCGATTTTCTATGAAGTCAATGCACATGACAGGTCGGGTAGGATGTCTTAGAACGAAAAAAAAATATATATAGCTTTTGCCCCTTTCAACGCTATACATTATATATTATTATAAGGTGCAACGTCAGTTATAAAAAATTAAAAAGTCACACAATATTATTTTCCTTTGTGTCGTAACTCATAAACATATTAGTCATTAGAGCCTTATCGAATATAATATACTTAACGGGATGTATATTTTTCCATAATATGCATTATATTTCAGAAAAATATTAATACAATAATATTATGTACAATTTTACACTAGCAATAAATATAATAATCTAGAAATTCGTTAGCGGGCAAAAAGAACGACAAAAATAATAAACAATATAAGTAAAAACAAAAATCATTGTGAGAGCAATACTTAATCGCCGTACTACTCGAAATCTGAAAAACCGAACTGTGCGGATTTTATTATTATTGATGTAGGGCTTTATATAAAGTCTGCTCAGTGAATGTGACTACAATGTAAGTAGTATTCATTCCGCTTCGTGCTTATAGTTGAAATGTAAATACGTACTGAAAATCGATTTTCATTTTATTCTCGGTCGGTGCGAGATCGCGATTACCGACGTTGTATAGTCTTTTTAATTTTTGTTTTTCGACAACACCAAATTTATACGTCACACGCATTACCAGATCTAGGGAGGGGGCGATCCGGGGCCCATGCCCCGGGCGCTAATCATCGAAGGTTGCAAGTTTCAAATTTTAAAATCATAAAGCATATAGCATAGGGGCGCCAATATTATGTTGTACCACGCGAATTACATATAATTTGTAGAATTTGTAAAATTGGTCACTCGAATAGGACGATTCGCACGGACCACCATCCGCTGATCTACGACCCGTGTTCTACCTAACCTACCTATGATGTTATATAGACATCTACACTTGTGCATATGATATTGCACAACGATGAGAACGGATTTGACAGATTTTTTTTTTTTCAGTTAGTGCGAGGTCGTGATTACCGACATTGTATAGTCTCTCTAATTTTTGTTTTTCGACAAAACCAAATTTATACCTCACACGCCAGGCACTCGCACAGATATGTAGGTGAAAATATAAGTTGTGGGGGGGCTTTTAACCCTCAAATAATAGCCATAGCGAGGCCCGCCTTAACGAAATTAATAACAATATCATTAGTGACCAAAATAAATGTATTAATAGACGCGTGGTATTACCGTTCATTCATCGCTGTACCCTATACTAAAGTTTGACAGACGACAGACGCAGGCATGGATCCAGAGCAAAGATCTGGGGGGAGCAACTATTTTTTTACAACACAAATACAATATTATAATACAATATTGTACTTTACTAAAAGTTTTGTCATAGTAGTATAGGTATATGTAGGTAATCAATGTGATCAATAAATTATTGATAGTTGAATATATAAAGCGACAATGTGAAAAAAAATGTAGATTTGGTTTATATGTTGTTATTTAATATATAATATTTATATTTATAAAAAAATATGTCTGGGGGGGGGGGACTGGGCCCTGGACAGACGACGGTTTCTTAGAATAGGTATTGACTATATTGGACATAATCGTGGACAACAGTTATATAAATTAACAGAGAAGGAATTTTTATATTTTATTTATCATTTGAAAAATCCAAATTATTAAAAATCTCATCCCCCCCCCTCCAGGCGTGCCTGTCACACCTCACGCGAATAGGTATCGATTCGCACGGACCGTCCGTTGATCTACGACACGAGTTCTAACCTAATACCATTGACGTTATAGACATCTGCACTTGTACATTTAATATTATATTGCACAACGATGCGAACGGATCTGACCTTATATGTGTAGCTCGTCGCGACTGCGGCTCACGTACACGTGTAAGCGCTTGTACTATATATATATATATACAATAACTATTACCTATACAGTACCTACAAACGTATATATATACATAATATTTATTATATATACACACAAGTCCCCGGTTAATGTACGCGATCTGATTAACCCACTCGAATCTGTACATATATATATATATTTGATTTATAGTGGTACGTGACGGGAGACGCGCGATATGCAATATATATATAATAATATTCCTCCGTTAGGTCGTATATACAGAGCCACACCCTATATACCGGACACGGGCGAAACACACGAGCATGCAGGGTAGTATAGGTACACCCCTCTGAAGTCGTATAATGTACACCGTACGTTATAGTATAATATATTGTTGTACGATATTATATACACACGCGAGATCGACGTGATTTACACGGCCGCGGCTCTAGTCGTCGTTTAATATTTAGGTGTATTATAGGTAAATATGTATAAATAAAAATAAAACAGAAAACTGCGGAAATGTGCAGCGCGCGAGGCATATTATATTAGGTACAACACTGGTGGTGGTACACATTGTTTAGAAGTGGATGTATATATTGCATGGATATATATTATGTATTATGTGTACGTAATATAATAATATATTGTATACTATTGTTGTGCATAGGTTATGATATTTGTTGGTTTAAATAATACATCGCGACGTATTGGTATATTATATACCATTGGTACCTATATATACCTAATATCATATGATATCGGCACGAAATACATTAAGCTTTAGTTCCCAGTTGCAGTGCGGTGGCATGCCTACAACTCGCGACTATATTACGAGCATTGCTATCATCATACCCTTGTTTGGTTGTTATTTTGTCGACTTCAATTTTACAGGAAATCCAATCAAGTAGTCGTTATTTTATTCAAGACACCACGATGGTTAAGAAATACCACAGTGATCGCAAGCCAATCATGTTCCTACCGATATCCAGGCACGTACTTACACAAAAAAAAATTTAGGTGGGAGGTCATAGTAGTTTTCGGAAGGGTTCATAGATGATTCATATAAATCAATTACACAACTATTCATTTTCGGGGGGGAGGGTGGTTGAACACTAAACCCCCTACCCCTGTATACGCGCCTGTCGACATCTATGAGCCACAGATGCAAGTGCTTCAAATGTCTAGTCAACTACGACTTAAGTGGAGTAATAAGGTGTGCACAATATGGATCTTTAAGGTTTGAGTACTTGGGCCCGCCCAATAACCACTAAAAATAAAATAACATGAAAATTTAAATATTAATCTAACTATGAATCCTTGACCTCAACGAGAGTCAAGAAGTATATTATTAAAAATTAAACATGGAATAAAAATGTATAAAAAAAAAAAACCGAAACTTGATTCTGCTG